TCCTGCTCGTCCTTCTTCTCCTGCTCCTCCTGCTCCTCGTCCTGCTCCTGCTCGTCCTCGTCCTCATGGTCTTGCTCGTCCTCCTCCTCGTCGTGCTCTTGCCCCTGCTGAAAATGTGGCCCAGGAATGGGAGTTCTGGGAAGTCGAAGAGCACGAAGTTGCCTACAGTTGGCTACGGCCATTCAAAATGTGGCCCGGGAATGGAGTTCTGGGAACTCGAAGAGCACGAAGTGGCTAGAGTGGCTAGGGCATCAAAAATGTGGCCGGGGACGTGGAGTCTGGGAACTCGAAAGAGCACGAAGTGGCCTACAGTCGCTCGGGTTCAAAATGTGGCCATGGGAATGCGAATGGAGTTCTGGGAAATCGAAGAGCACGAAGTGGCCTACAGTTGGCTCCGGGCATCCAAAATGTGGCCCGGGAATGGAGTTCTGGGAAGTCGAAGACATGAAGTGTGTGACTGTTGCATCCGGCCCTCCAGAATGTGGCCCGGGAATGGAGTTCTGGGAACTCGAAGAGCACGAAGTGTGTGACTGTTGCATCCGGTTATTCTAAATGTGGCCCGGGATTGGCGTTCTGGGATCTCGAAGAGCACGAAGTGTGTGACTGTTGCATCCGGGTATTGAGAATGTGGCCTGGGAATGGAGTTCTGGGAAGTCGAAGAGCACGAAGTGTGTGACTGTTGGTGAAAAACGAGCCCGGCACCCTGCCGCCCGGCAACTCCCCAACACCTGCCCGGACCCCCGTGGAGTGATCTGTGAGCTCTTTTGAGTCAACTAGAAACCTATCAGTCTTCGCTGTTAGGTAATAAAAACCGATGGAAAATCAGCAAGCTCGGCCTCTTGGGCTTCTTGGGACCCCAAGAGGGCCTTAAGATGGTCCAAGATGGCCCCAAGACGGCCCCAAGACAGTTCAAGATGGTCCCAAGAGGCCCATGACCCCCAAAACGGCCCAAGAGGGCCCCAAGAGGACCCCACAAAGCGCCTCCATAAGCTAAAATCATGGATTTCACATTGGTTTTGAAACGATGTTCGCGTTCTCGCCTCTTTTGGTTCTCAGAAGACCAGGACGTGCAGCCTCCAGGAAAAAACCCAAGACGGCCCAAGAAGCCGCCCAGGGGGCCCCAAGACGGTGCAAGAGAGCCCCGAGACGGCCTAAAGAGGCCCCAAGACGGTCCAAGGTGCCTCGGATACGGCCCAAGGAGATCCCAAGAGAGCCCTAATGGCGGCCGCGAGAGGCCTCCAAGATGGCCTCCGAAAGAGGCCAGACAGCGCAAAAGCGCCCCAAGACGGCGCAAGACGTCAAGAAGAAGCCCCGAGAGGCCCCAAGGCGGCCCAAACAACGCCCCAAGAAGCCCCCAAGAGGCGTCGGCTGTGCGGCGCCGCTTTGTCACGCTGGGCAATGTGCGCGGCTTTTCGCTTAAACGCTGCCGAGCACTGCGCGAAATTTAAACCCCCGCGCGGATCCCGGCACTGAGCGCAGATCCACTCCTTCATGTTCCAAACTCTGTGCTTGGTCGTCTTCGGCCGCGGAGTCGAGCCGCATCTCGCGCACGGCGGAAATTTGCACGACTCGCACCAGAAACCGGTCCTGTACGTCAGGCGGTCTGGAGGCCTTGCTTCGCAGCCTCCTTTGCAGAGGCGCTTCCATTTTTCGTCCAGACACTCTGTGCACGCGGCGTCTTTGATGCCCTTGCGCCTGTGCTGAGCGGCGTTTTCTGCGGAGGCGATACTGCAACGTATCTTTTGTATTCAGTTGTTGAAAGTTGCTACATTTTGTGTAGCTTTACATTATTATGTCTCCTCCCCTAACCCACCCTTGGAGTCGCGCCACTCCGCCGTAACGAAAGGTGGTGGCCCCCTTTTCGGGCTCTCAAACCATGCAAAAACCATGGGAAATCCACGATGTTGGCCCCTTCGGTCTCTTGGGGCCCCAAGAGGGCCTCAAGATGGTCCAAAATGGCACCAAAACGGCCCAAGACGGCTCCTGGATGGTCCCGACAAGGCCCGTGAGGCCCCGAAGACGGCTCAAAGGGGCCCTAAAAGGACTCGAAGCAGCGCGTCCAGGAGCCAAAATCATTGATTTCCCCTGGCTTTTGAAAGATTTTAGCGTTTTCGCTTTTTTTTCTGCCCTCAGAGGACCATACCGGCCCAAGCAGCCTCCAAGAAGACCTCAAGACGGCCAGACGAGGCCCCCCAAAGGGGCCCCAGGATTGCTCAACAGGGTCCCAAAACCAAAAGAACCCCCCAAGACGGTCCAAGAGGCCCCTAAAACGGCCCAAGAGGACTCCAAGAGAACCCCAAGGTGGCCGCGAGAGGCCTCCAAGATGGCCTCCGAAGGAACCAGACGGCGCAAGAGCGCCCCAAGACGGCGCAAGACGTCAAGAAGAAGCCCGAAGAGGCCCAAAAGCGGCCCCAAAGACGCTCCAAGAAGCCCCCACGGGGCTTTCAAGAGGCTCCCAAGAACCCCCCATGAGGTCGCCCAGGAGCCCTGGGGATTGCAGGCCGGAGCGGCACGCGCGCGCGGCAGCCGAGCAGGTTACGCCAACCAACGCCCACACCTTCCACATTTGAGCACTTTTCCACAGCGGCGATTGCGGCCGCGAGAGGCCCCAGACCAGCCTCGAGAGGCCCCCAGACCGGCCTCCGAATGGGCCACACGCGGCAAGAGCGCCCCAAGACGGCCGAAGACGCCCCCAAGAGGCCCCAAGAGGCCCCAAAGAAGCCCAGTCCCAAGAAGCCCCCAAGACACCTCCAAGAGGCCACAAAGATGCTCCCAAGAGGCCCCGCAACGACTGGACTGTACGTGCTCCGGACGTGCACCCCGCGAAGCGAGAGGAATCAACAACCACTTGCGGTGCTGAGCAAGGCGGCAACAAACTTGGGCGCCGACGCCCTTCTCTCCGCCGGTGCTCCTAATCTCGAGGCACCAGAAGTCTGGGGACGGCGGCGGCGACGACGTTTCTAGGCAACCTATCTTCAAGCGTTAGGTCGGGCATGTCCCCCACACAAGCAGATTTTGCAGAAGAAATAAAACATCGTCAACAAATACTCCACAATATTCAAAAAAAATATCCCGGCAAAGCAACCTAACAGCGATGTGTAGAAGCATATCTGAAAGCATTCCCCTTAAGATTCAGATGAAAATCCAGTTATCGAATTCTGCTGTTCTCGCAGTCGTAGTCGCATTCGCGATGACAGTCGCAGCGGCAACGGCAGTCGCAGTCACAGCCTCAGCCTCAGCCTGCCTCCTCCTCCTCCTCCTCCTCCTCTTTCTCCTGCTCCTCCTCCTCCTCCTCCTCTTCCTCCTGCTCGTCCTCCGTTCTCGTCCTCCTCGTCTTGCTCGTCCTCCTCCTCCTGGTGCTCTCGTCCTCCTCCTCCTCCTCCTCTCCTCCTCCTCCTCCTCCTCCTCCTCCTGGTGTCCTCGTTTCTCCTCCTCCTGGTGCTCTCCCCCCCCCTCCTCCTCCTCGTCCTCCTCCTCCTCCTCCTCTCCTCTCCTCCTCCTCTCCTCCTCCTCCTCCCACTCCGTAGTTCCTCCCCCCTCCCCTCCTCCTCCTCCTTCCTCCTCCTCCTCCTCCTCCTCTTCCTGGTCGTCCTCGTTCTCGTCCTCCTCGTCTTGCTCGTCCTCCTCCTCCTGGTGTTCTCTCCTCCTCCTCCTCCTCCTCCTCCTCCTCCTCCTCCTCCTCCTCCTCCTCCTGGTGGTCCTCGTTCTCCTCCTCCTGGTACTCTCCCCCCCCCTCCTCCTCCTCCTCCTCGTCCTCGTCCTCCTCCTCCTCCTCCTCCTCTTCCTCCTCCTCCTCCTCCTCCTCCTCCTCCTCCTGGTACTCCTCCCCCTCCCCTCCTCCTCCTCCTCCTCTTCCTGGTCGTCCTCCTCCTCCTGGTCGTCCTCCTCCTCCTGCTCGTCCTCCTCCTCCTCCTGCTCGTCCTTCTTCTCCTGCTCCTCCTGCTCCTCGTCCTGCTCCTGCTCGTCCTCGTCCTCCTGGTCTTGCTCGTCCTCCTCCTCGTCGTGCTCTTGCCCCTGCTGAAAATGTGGCCAGGAATGGGAGTTCTGGGAAGTCGAAGAGCACGCACGAGTTGCCTACAGTTGGCTACGGGCATTCAAAATGTGGCCCGGGAATGGAGTTCTGGGAACTCGAAGAGCACGAAGTGGCCTACGGTTGGCTCCGGGCATTCAAAATGTGGCCCGGGAATGGAGTTCTGGGAACTCGAAGAGCACGAAGTGGCCTACAGTTGGCTCCGGGCATTCAAAATGTGGCCCGGGAATGGAGTTCTGGGAACTCGAAGAGCACGAAGTGGCCTACAGTTGGCTCCGGGCATTCAAATGTGGCCCGGGAATGGAGTTCTGGGAACTCGAAGAGCACGAAGTGTGTGACTGTTGCATCCGGTTATTCTAAAGGTGGCCCGGGAATGGCGTTCTGGGATCTCGAAGAGCACGAAGTGTGTGACTGTTGCATCCGGTTATTCAGAATGAGCCTGGGAATGGAGTTCTGGGAACTCGAAGAGCACGAAGTGTGTGACTGTTGGTGAAAACGATCTCGGCACAGGCCCGCCCGGCAACTCCCAACACCTGCCCGGACCCCCCTGTGGAGTGATCTGTGAGCTCTTTTGACACTACTAGAAACCTATCAGTCTTCGCTGTTAGGTAATGAAATCGTCCCCTGACTTTTTTGGACTATTTTTGAGGGGCGTGCCCGACTTAATTCAAGCGTCGCGCCTCGCGATGCGCGGTGACCTTCGCGCCCTAGGGAGGTCGCCCTGGAGAGAGACACCCTTGCAGTCCCAGAGCGCGAGACACGCCCTCCTTGCGACCACCTTCACACCCCTGCCGTTGACCCAGCCCTTTCCACTGGGGGGGCAGCAATGCACCGACACCGCTGCTCCCCATACGTACCTCACCCAGGATGTGCTCTGACCAGAATGTCGTGGAGAAGCGGGCCGTGGCGACGAGGGCTCTCCAGGATGAGCAGCGGCATCGGCATCCCTGCCTCCTCTGATCATACCCTCCTTGGCCGCGGCCGACAGCTCGTCGTACTGCTGGCGGACGCGCAGCAACTGCCCGTGCAGCAGCTGGTTCTCGCGGGTCATGTGCAGCAGGTCCTGCGCGGCCGCCGTCCTCCCGCTCCTCCTGCTCCGTTCTCCTGCTCGCGCGTGTGAAAGAGGAGGAAGAGGAGAAGGAGGAAGAGGAACCGCGATCGCCCGATCATGCCCCCAGTTGTCTCGCACGGTGGCCCGAGCGGCAGCCAGCGTGGCATTCGCCGGCCCCTCAAGCCCGCGACAGCAAGCCAACATTTCCACAAGGACCAACGTTCTCCCCCCCTGCTTAGGGGCCACGCCTGCAACGACACCGAGGCCGCGCTGCCCCGCCTGGCATAGGATTTCTGCAAGCACACCAGAGTGCGCAGCAGCCGCCACGTCACCTACCACATCCGCCACACGATCTCACAGTGGCGGCGCCATGAAGCTCAGCCGCGAGCCGAGCGCCCAGCAGGAGCCCACCTACCAGGCCTACTACCACGGCGAGTGGGATGGGACTGGACAGTTGGAGAAGCGAGCAGTGGGCCGCCCAATACCCAGGCGCCTTCTGGAACGAGGGCGCAAGCAAGAAAACCGATGCTACAACGGCGGAGGCAAAGGCAACTTCCCGACGCCATGTACGACGAACGCATCGACGACACCAACCCGGCACAGACAGGCAACCAGATATCCCGGCAAAGCAACCTAACAGCGATGTGTGGAAACATATCTGAAAGCATTCCCCTTCAGATTCAGATGAAAATCCAGTTGTAGAATTCTGCTGTTCTCGCAGTCGTAGTCGCATTCGCGATGACAGTCGCAGCGGCAACGGCAGTCGCAGTCACAGCCTCAGCCTCAGCCTGCCTCAGCCTCAGCCTCAGCCTGCCTCAGCCTCAGCCTGCCTCAGCCTCAGCCTCAGCCTGCTTCAGCCTCAGCCTCAGTCTGCCTTCAGCCTCGGCCTCAGCCTCAGCCTGCCTCAGCCTCAGCCTGCATCAGCCTCAGCCTCAGCCTCAGCCTGCCTCAGCATCAGCCTGCTTCAGCCTCAGCCTCAGCCTGCCTCAGCCTCAGCCTCAGTCTGCTTCAGCCTCAGCCTCAGTCTGCCTTCAGCCTCGGCCTCAGCCTCAGCCTGCCTCAGCCTCAGCCTGCCTCGGCCGCAGCATCAGCCTGCCTCAGCATTCAAAATGTGGCCCAGGAATGGAGTTCTGGGAACTAGAAGAACACGAAGTGGCCTACAGTTGGCTCCGGGCATTCAAAATCATGCCCAGGAATGGAGTTCTGGGAACTTGAAGAGCACGAAGTGGCCTACAGTTGGCTCCGGGCATCCAAAATGTGGCCCGGGAATGGAGTTCTGGGAAGTCGAAGAGCACGAAGTGGCCTACAGTTGGCTCCGGGCATCCAAAATGTGGCCCGGGAATGGAGTTCTGGGAAGTCGAAGAGCACGAAGTGGCCTACAGTTGGCTCCGGGCATTCAGAATGTGGCCCGGGAATGGAGTTCTGGGAGGTCGAAGAGCACGAAGTGTGTGACTGTTGGCTTAAAACGACTTCTGCGGCACCCTGTCCGGCACCCGCCCAGACCCCCCTGTGGAGTCATCTGCTGCTCTCTTTTGACCCTATTAGAAACCTATCAGTCTTCGCTGTTAGGTAAAAAGCTAGAGTGGCAAGGGCAGGCAGCGAAACCCTCATGACGAATATTCGGTCGCCAAAAAAGCAAGGCGACGCTAACAAGGGCCACAACGACCACATGAAAACGATGATTAAGAGCATCTTGCCGACGTGCAAGCTCTACGCCAGACTCAGAGGGGATTGGGAAACGCCTTCCAACGATCCCAAGCTCACGGAATGGAAGAATGTCAATATCGCAGACCAGCGACACGCAGCGACCGCTAGCGTGAAGCACTGCAGGCCTCCCAGCTACAGAAGGCGAGCCAGATCGCATCCATGAAAGCAATGATCATCAGTGGCATGCCGGTCGCCCGACAAGCCAGAGAAACCGAGCGCACCAAGCAAGAGATGGAGGACCATTTTGTGGAATGCACAAAGACACACTACAAAGAGGTGGCCAACTACATGACGATCCTTGAGGCCAAGATAAAGGAACTCAGGATCATCAAGAACGATATCAACCACGCGAGGGGCGACGCGTGCGGCATCGACGCAGGGGCCGCCGACAACGAGGCCAAGGTAGGGCCCAAGTCAAACCAGCCCCAAAGGGCTCCAACCCCAGCCAGGAGACTAGCGAGAGTTGGAGAACCCGCCGAAGTGAGCGACCTGGGCGCAATCCCCAACCCCTCAACGAAGAAAACCAGTGACTGATCCAGGATGTGAGAAACAGCGAGGAGGCCAAGGAGACGTTCGACCAGCCCACCAGGAACAACAGCGAGCTAGATAGAGGTGACAATGGAGGCCAATGCAGAAGTCTACAGACTGCACGCCCATGTCCTGTCAGTGCAAAACATCACTGACAACGGGCCCCAAAAAAACTGAAAGAGTTCTGGCGCGAGGCCAACCAAAGGGAAAACGATCTGAAGGATAAGCTTAAGACTGCCACCTCCACGACCGACAGAATGGGCACGAAGGTCCGCGGCGACGACGTTTTGCCGCCTCGTCACGAGTCCTCGCCCCTGCTCCTCCTCCCTTCCTCTACCCCTCCACCCTCGGGGGTAGGGCTCGGTGGAGCCGCTTCTTCATTGGCAACGCTGCTGGCTGAGCCAGGGGGTCACTTGCGCTTTCGTGCATCCCGAAGCGAACGTAAGCAATATCCTCCTCCTACTTTCTCTTCTTCCTTCTCTTCGACTCCTCCTCCTCCTCGTCCTCCTCCTCCTCCGCCTGAGCTGTCCGCGTCAGAAAAAGGGCCCCACGACCGCCGAATACCCCGGGGAGAAGGGAGAGGAAGGGGGCACGGAAGCGGAGCGGGAGAGATGCTGCAGGAGGGGACGCACAACCGGGGAGGCCCGGAACTTCACGAGACAGATACCGGTGCAGTCAAGACACGGAAACGGGGACTACAGTTGGGCTCAGCATGGGGCTCTGGCTCCTGGGCCGCTCCTGAGATTTAGGCCAAGGAACCTACTCGTGGCCGAAGTTCTTGTTCGGTGTTGCTTGTGGTAACACAGCGAGTGTGCTCGCCGGATCTCTTCCAGGGTGTGTTATGACTAAGAATTCGAAGCGAATCTAGCCGTGGCGACGAGGAGTGGGTAGCGGTACGGTGAGGGCGTTGGATGAAGAACCATTGGACATGGAATCCAGGGTCTGAAATCCAGTGAACACCGATGGGAGCTATGTCATGGCTATCGCCGTCATCCTCATCAGATAAGGAATCCTCCTGGGTCTGAAACCTCCTGGGAACATTCCTTAACCAACGCCCCCACCGTATCGGCGGTGTCCGGAACTTTTTTCTGCACTGAGCAGCCCCGGTCCACGAGGGGCCAGGGGCTTCGTCCTCCAGCCCCAGCGCGCTGTCCCTCCGACTCTGCTCCGCCTCGTTGAGCAGCGCCTGCACCTCCGATGTGTGTATGTCTGTGTAGGAATGTGTGTATGTGTGCGCGTTTTTGCTTGTGTATGTGTGCGTGACTGTATGCGCGGGGGCGCGCAACTCTTCGCTTGACCTTGCACTAAGCCGCGCACGTCGCCGCGACGCCAACAAACAAACACACACACACTCTCACACACACACACACGCACGCACGCACGCACGCAAGCATGCACGCACGCACCCAAGCACGAACAGAAACACACGTAGACACACAAACACACAAACACACTTGTTACGTCACCACTCTCTGTTGAGGGCCCTGGTGTTGAGAAATGTTTACGTTGACGCTCGCTCTTGGGGGCCTCGGTGTGACGAGCTTTTTGCGTCACCTTCGCGCTTGGGAGCCAGGGTGTAAAGAGCTTCTTACGTCTCCTCCTCCTCCTCCTCCTCCTCCTCCTCCTCCTCCTCCTCCTCCGGGCCGTCTGGGGGCCCTTTTGGACCGTTGTCGGCCCCTTTGGGGGGCCTCCGGGGCCGTCTTGGGACGATCTTTGGGGCCTCTTGGGCCGTTGGGCCCGTCTGGGGGCCCTGTTGGACCGATTTGGGCCCCTTTGGAGCGCCTTTGGGGCTGTCTTGGGACGATCTTCGGGGCCTCTTGGACCGTCTGGGGCCCTTCTGGGATTGAAAAAAGGAAAAACCGAAAAACCGACCAAAACCATAATTAGGCACATCAATGTTTTTGGCCTCCTATGGCCCTCTTGGGGACCCTTGTGAGGGCCTCTGGAACCGTCTCGAGACTCTCTTGGACCGTCTGGAACCATTTGAAGCTCTTTTGGGGCCGTCTTGGGGCCCTCTTGGGCCGTCTTGGGGCCCTCTGGCCGGTTCACAAGAAAAAATTCGCCGGCCCAACGGGCCAGGGCGTGCTAAGATCTCCGGTACCTGGTTAACAGTATTTCTAGTTCGCGCGCGCGGGGCGGCCCCTGGGGGTCCCCGGACGAAAAGTACCCCGGCAAGGTCCCGGCAAGTCCCCGGCAAGTCCCCGGCAAGGTCCCGGCAAGGTCGGGCCAGAGATGCCGGAGTTCTGTTTCGGAGTCCAAGAGGGCTCCAGATCGGTCCAAGAGGGCCCCGAGAAGCTTTCTAGACGGTCCAAGAGAAGCCCGAGACGGCCAAAGATCGCCCGAAGACGCCCCAGATGGCTCCAAGACAGCCCAAGAGGCCTCCAAGACGCTCCAAGGGCCTTCCAAGAGGCCTCCGAAGAGGGCCCCAAGTTGCCAAAATCCGCCGACCCCTTGTGGGTCCCTAGGCGTGTGAGATAGTTCCCCCCCCTACAGTCCCCCCCCAGGGACCCCAAACTGGCGATTTGACCCCCCCCCCATGGCCCCGCCCGAGCGACTCACGGAGCTTCCTTGGGCTCAAAAGTCTCTCAAGGCGGCCCAAGAAGGCCCCAAGACTCCTCCAAGACGGCCCACGAGGGCCCCGAGACGCCAAACGAACGCTCCAAGGCGCCCAAGATGGCCCCAAGACGGGCCAAGAGGCCTCCAAGACGGCCCATGAGGCCTCCAAGAGCAGTTCTCAGAAGGGCCGAAGAGCCGAAAATCTTCAAATTCCTATGGAAAACGTACATTTTGATCATATACGGCTTCTCGGCCTTCACGGCGTTGAACACGGTCCAAGAGCACCCCAAGACCGCCCCAAGACGGCCCAAGAGGCCCCCAACACGCGCCCAAGTCCGCCCAAGAGGGCGCCAAGACAGCCCAAGAGGCCCCCAGGACGGCCCAAGAGAGCCCCAAGACGGCCCCAAGAGGGGCCCAAGAGAGGGAGCCCGAACTGACATCCCGAGCCTTCCGCCCCGAGACGGCCCTAAAAGGCCCCGAGAGGCCCCAAGAGGCCCCCAAGACGCCCCCAAGAGGCCCCAAGAGGCCCCCCAAGAGGCCCCAGAACGGCCCCAAAACGGCCCCCAAGAGGCTTCGAAACTGCCTCCAAGAGTCCCGCGAGAAGCACCACCAGAGATCCCAGCGATCATCGCACAAGCGGGATTCGCGCTCCCGAGGCGAAGAATTCCAAAACCATGACCCAGAACATTTCCTCCGCGTCCCCCTCCTCCTCCCCCTCACCCGCCTTGTCCACGTCGGCCCCCCAGTGGCGTCAAAACTGCTTTCCAGAGGCCCCCGAAAGGAGTGCCGCGAAATTCCGATACACATACAAGAACCTCTCACCCAAAGACCATAACCCAGAGCCTCCTCTCAGTGTCCCCCTCATCCTCCTCCTCAACCACCCTCTCCTCGTCCCCCTCCTCCTCGTCCCCCTCCTCTTGTTCATGGCCCGTCACCTCGACACGTTCGATGATTCTCCCCTGTGTCCTCCGCCTCACCCCCCATTCTCCTGTCCTCGTTCTCCTTTTTCCTCAGCGCGCGCGCCCGATTCGGCATCATTTGCAGGTCTTGCACTTCAGAGTGCTTTTTTTTTTTGCGTCGCGCGGGACATTGTGAGGGTCGGGGAACGCCGACTTCGGTAGTCTTCTCTTGCACGCGCCGCTGCACTGATACGCCTGGCAACTGCGGGCTGTGAACCCGAGTGCCGCGCAGCTTCCGCACACCACCTTTTTTTGATTCGACCATCGATGATGTTCTTTTTGGCTCTGCCTCAAATGTTTCGTGTCTGAGAACGCTCCTCCGCACGCCGCGCACGTCAGCGGCTTCGCTTCCGCCTCGGCTCTCCGTTTCCTATTATTGGACTCAAGCGTCGTCCTCTGACGTTCTTCCGCGCATTTCCGACAAGACGGCACCAAGAGGGGCCCAAGAGGGCAACCAAAAATTCAAAAATCTAGCTTCCCGCCCCCACGAGCCCCAGGGGGCCCCAAGAGTGCCCCAAGAGGCCGCCAGAGGCCCCCAAGAGGCCGCCAAGACGCCCCAAGGAGCCCCCAAGAGGCCCCCAGGAGGCCTCCAAAAGACCACCAGACGCTTCCGCATTGCGAGCCGTCAAGCCAACTGCAATGCACTCCGCGCATGCAGCCTTGCTCTTCCTCGCGACGTGCTCACAATCTTGCTCGGCGCTGTGCTACGCGACGTGCTGCTGCTACGCGAACTGTTTCGTGCGCGCTGCGAACGTCAACAGCCTCTTCACCCGTTTCGACTCATCTGCCACATCTTTCGCGGTGATGCTTCGCTGATCACAGCTTCCGCACGCTACTCTTGCTCCTTTCGTCTTCCGGTGCTCCTCCACTTGGTTGAGGGGCGAGAGGCCGACCTCCCAGAAGGACACCCCGCACCCGGGTGCACAGCACGCAAAGCGCTCGCAAAACACGCCCCAGACCACCGGCATCACGCAAACATGTGGACCCCCTACGTATCTGCCACCACCCGCGCGCGACACCGCACCCTCACACAAGACGCCGCTGGCCAGAAACTCCTGGCCTCGCAACAGTCACAGAAGGGGTCGGCGGATGTGGCGTAAGCCTGTAGAATCGTTGATTTTCATTTTTTTTTCTATGTTTTTTTGCGTTCTGGCCTTTTCGCTTCCGGACGCTCCAAGAGGGCCCAAGAGGCCTTCAAGACTGCTCCAAGACGGCCCACGAGGCTCCCAAGACGGCCCCGGAGCGGCCCAAGAGCGCCCCCCAGACGGCCCAAGTGCTGCCCAAGGCGGACCAAGAGGCCCCAAGACGGGCCCAAGAGGGGCTCAAGAAGGGAACCGAGAACTGAAAAATCGAGCCCTCCGCCCCAGAAGGCGCCCAGGACCCCGAAAGAGGCCCCAAGAGACTCTCCAAGACACCCCCAAGACGCCCCAATAAGCTCCCGTGAGGCCCCAAGAGGACCAACAACGTCAGGCCCCAGGCCCCAAGAGGACCAACAAATACCGCCAAGAGCCCGCCGAAAGCCCCCCAAGAGACCGTCACGAGAGCTCAGGAGGCCCCCTGGAGGCCTCCCGAGTTCTCCAAGAGGCCTAAAAAGAGGCGCCAAGAGGCCCCAAACGGCCCCACCGAGGCTCCAAGAGGCCACGAACGCGCAAGCAAACGCCTGCGATGGCACAGTACGGGCCGGCGGAATGAGCGAAGCGATTAAATAACAACAAAAACAAGCCATGGGAGCCGCCTGGGAGCCGCTTCAATCGAGAAAAATACACGGGTACGGGGCTCTTAGAACCTGGGCCTGCACGGGGACGGAAAACGCATATACTTTCAGAGCGCGAGATGTCGCTGGTTTGCCCGGTCTTTCTCTCTGTCTCCCCGTCTGGAGGCTCTCTTGGGGCATCTTGGTGGCATATTGGGCGCCCTCTAGGGCTAACTAGAAGCCGCCGGAGGCCTCTTCAGGGGGAGCTAGGACGTGTTGGTATCTTCGGAAGGCACTGGAGCGCGATAAAACGCGAATGAACTGATAATACTGTTGACGATGAGGACGACGACATACTGTCTCTTGGGAGCATCCTGGGCCTCTCCCAGGCCCTCCTTGGGCCGTTCTATGGCTCTCTTAGGCCCTCTTAGGGCCCTTTTGGGCCATCCTCAGACCCTCCTGGGAGCCTCTCGGACCGTCATTACGTCACCACTCTCTGTTGGGAGTCCTGGTGTTCAGAGACTTTTACGTTGCCGCTCGCTCCTGGGTGCATTGGTGTTGGGAGTTGTGAGAGAACGCGTTTCACGGGCGCTTCCCGTGGGAACATTCGGCGGCGCGTTTCGAAACTGGAGTTGGCCCCCCCCACATTCGGCGCCGTCGATCAAAACCAGAGGGACTCCCATCCCCCAAAACCCCCCCTCCCAAACCCCCCTCCCACCCCCCTCCCAAGGGGGGGGGGGTCAAAACACCCCCCCCTCCCCCATCGGCGCCAGCGCCAGCGCCGGCGCTGGCGCCCGCCAGCAGCGCCCACGGCGGGGACGCAGCGACGATTACCAGAGGCAGCCCAGGGGGGGTTTAAACCCCCCCACACCCCCTCGCGCCGGCGCCGGCGCTGGCGGCGGCCAACAGCGGCGGCGCTGGCGATGGCGACGGCGGGGACGCAGCGACGATTACCACCACCACCACCACTACCACCACCACCAC